GCTTAAATCTATTGGGAGTGCTGCTTATTCTTTGATACTTAGTTTGTGCAGTCGGCAATTCCCAATAAGTAAAACATACGAGAAATTATGTAAACTTCTAAGCACCCGTTATATGTCAGCTACAATCATTTATCGAGAAAGAAAAAACTTCCTATTGCTGGAATTACTGGATGGTTCGCCAGAGTAATAAAACTAATACTGTGTTGTAAATTTGGAAAGTACTAATAGGCATTCCTCAAAAAGAGATTCATACCGGGTCTACCCGGAAAGGTTTTCGTCAAATTCTATGAAGGGGATGGTAAATTTACTCTTCATGATGGATTTAAAAAAGCATTGATAATTGAATGGAACATTTCATTTAATGCTAATAGTCTTGACAACCATGTTAACGACATTAATAAATTAAGCCTTAATAAGAATCGGAGAAACAAGGACAAAATCGGCGATGGAAACAATTAAAATAAGAAACATAAGTTATCCAAACATTACAGTTGGAAAAGCCATGAAACTTTGCTACGAATGCCGTGTCTGTTGTAAAATAGGCCACATTGCCCCAATTTCTCGATCAAAATAAAATCAGCTAAGTCAACTTTAAATTTTGTTAACAGTAAATCAAATTTTGTCAATTATATTTGTAGTATTGTAGATAAATCGTACGGTAGTTTGTATACATTGCGAGAAAAAATTCGCAATATTGGTGTTAAGCGAGCATGTGACATAGCCGTGCACATTATTTTCGTCATTTTTTGAAAAGATAAGTTTTTAAATCCGAGCTTAGAAAATGAAAAAATTTTTACGTCAACTACAGTGTGGATTGCATGTCAATAGTTGGTAAGTACAACGCCAAAAGTAGTTTGCTATTGTAGTATCAGATACAACAAATTCTCCACTCCTTCATCGTTCATTTCCCAGAGCCTTTATTTTTGAATTACGTCTAGTAAACGAAGTCAAGTTACAAAATAATTATACATATATCATTAACCAAATTAAAACTCAGTTTAGCCAAGCATTAATAATCAATGAGGGCCACATAATAGTAACGGAATTACATTAAACGTTGATTAAAGTGCTAAACCAATTTTCTTCAAGTCCAGACCATTACCACTCCCTTGCAAAACAAAAATAAAACAAAAGCTAAATGACTTAATAGAATTAGATGTTCTAAAACGAGTAGACAACCTAGATTCGAGTACATCTTCGGATTTAGAACTAAATAAAATAATTGTTATTCTTTTAATCTAAAGTATCGTATCTAGAATTCACCATTGACAGTAATGGGTTAAAAAACTTAATGATTATATTTTAAGCGTAACAAAAGCACCTATTCCATAAAAATCTCAGAATTAAGAGATTTCATCCGATTGGCTAATTATTATTTCAAGTTTATAAAAATTTTTGCTCAGAAGATAAGTTTGCTCTGCAATTTATTATGAAATAATAAATCGGGGATGTAGAGCCGTCATAGCACAAAAATTTCGCAAACAGTTATTAAATCAATCGCATATGCCACATCTTGGTATTATAAAGCTGAAAACTTAGCAAGATTGTATATGTGGTTATTAGAAAGGTATGAAGAAAAAAATTAATGATATACGCACGTAAATCTTGCCAAGAGCAACGAAGCAGTCAGGAGAAAAGTTCACTGATGCCTATGATGCCTTGTAATAAAGTATGGAGCACAATACACATTGATTATGTGGATCCAAATAATAACTTTATAAATTTTGAAATGGGTTGAAGTACTCCAAATAAGGAATATTATTTCAAGCTTTGCAATTATTAAATTAGGCGAACTTTTTTCACCCTATGATCTACCAGATGTTGCTAGTGATAATGAACGAGCATTTACATAGAGCGAATTTCAAGAACTCTTATCGGTGAATTTAATTACACATATATTTACCATTCCTGGACATGCAGCAATCAATCGACAAGCAGAAAACTTCCTAAAAACTTTCAAGAACTTTATTTTTGGTAATATTAAGGCCTTATCCTAGTCATTATATAGACAACTCTTCAACAACTCTTGATTGACTACAGAAACACTACTAATTTCGTTAAATATACTTTGGAAGATCTCTAAGAACTCGCTTCAACAATTTAAAACCTCCAACAACAAAAAGCAAATTAGAAGAACAACAGTTTAAATTCATAAAGAATTATAAAGGCAAACGAAATATCGAGCTCATAATTGGCCAATAAATGTTTGTTTGAGACTATAGGGATATCAACAAACCTAGTCGGATTGATGCGACTATTAAGCAACAACTTGCACCTATATCATATTGCTGCGCAGTAAAACGTCATCTAAATTAAATATTGAACAACGCGACAATACGCACAGCGACTCGTTATAGTCGACTGCTATGCCTACTCTGACAACAACCACGATCACTTCTACAACTACGGTAACAACTCATGCCGATGTTGAAACAAATACCGAGAGAATTTTAAGACCCAAAATGCATGGTATCGTTACCAAAGTTTAAACTAAATTGAATTTTTCATTTTTTTATACATAAATTATCAGCCTAAGGAGGAGCGTGTGAGATATGTTTATCTTGCAATGCCTTCATATTAAACTGCTACACTTGGCGTCTGGCAACTTCTATACTTGTAGAGAAAATAATAAAAATGAAGATTACTCACTCTAATAAGGAACACACGTCTTTAAGATGAGTTGGTATTTTTCCAGTCGGTGCGTCATACTTAAAATATCTATGTACGCTGTAGGTGTTTAGGACTGCAGGACTTCGATTTCAACATAACATAAACAAATCTTTTAAAAAATTCAATTAAGACTTATGTACTTTTTGCGGCAATGTCAACGATTGTATTGTTTGTACATTTGGCGGGACAGGAGTGGAAAGGATACAACTGTATGCCATATTTTACAAAGCAGATTAATATTAAGGTTGCGCCACTTAATTGAAATGGAACGAAGAAATTGAATGTGAAACGGTAAATTGATAAATTATATCAATTGCATAACCTATTGAATTTCTTCACTTTACATAGAGAAGCAGGAATGTGAAAGTGGATTTTTCAAAAAATCTTTTATTTGAAAGCGCCATATACTAATGGAAAAGAGGATTTCGTGAGGTTGCAGCTACCTTAGTAGTAGTGAATATGCATTTTGCTGGATCCAGCTGCGCTATGCATTGTTTGACCTAACACCACTTGCTGTACAGGGCGTATTAAGTTTGTTCGGATGTATGCAACGCCCAGGATGGCTTAAGCCAAACTCATATTTCCTTATAGCGATCGAATCAGAAACATTTTCTGAATTGATTTGAGCATGTGTATCCGTCTGTTGTCTTATGTTTACTTTTGTCCACCTACATTGGGAAATTTCTAAGAATGTCATGTTTTGGCCGAAGGTCGAACACTGTTGAAAACGGATTGGATTGGATCATTTTGATAAAAATTGGTTCATCATAGCAGCTTGACATGAAGATCAACTATACCAACTTTGGATCATAAACGTCAATTTTTTTTTTGCTTAAGTCTATATTAGGGTTATAATGAAAAGTAAGCTTTTATGTGGCAAAAAGGTCTATTTTCTAATATCTTATAATGAAAATTGGCCCATAATAGGAATTTGACGCGTGAACTAATTGAACCAATTTTCAGACCACATTCTTGCAGACGTCTTCATGAGAAGTAATCGTTTATATAGCAGCAAAACTTAATTTTTGGTACTTTGTGACAAAAATGGGTAAATAGTAGGAAAGTTCTTGCCAAGAGAATTACTTTTGCATAATTAGGACAATGTCAGTCCTAGTTTTGGGCTTTCTCCGATGCAAAGGCTACCACGCAAAGTGTTTTTTTGGAAACTAACTATAATCCTTGATATTTTATGACGACAGTAAATGAGGAAATGTATCAGTGTAAGCGGTGTGGGGTAATTGAGTCGTCTGACTGTAATGGTTTTAACTGTTTATATTTTATATAAATGATATGAAAATTAAATCATTTAAGCAAACTGTTATAATTTCGTGCGTTGCGCATCGGTAAAACCTATGTCTACTGTGATACATATTATATAAAGAAAATAAGTTTCTGTCTTAAAATTTTTTAGTGATTTATCAATCTTTTCACCATAAAGGTAGTTTAAATGTGTTACTACTAACGCCTATTTATAGCCTTCAAATATTCTTAGTGCAAATAATCTGAGTTCAAGTTTTGAGCCATCGGATTAAGAGTATTCAAGATTCGCTCTAAAACGAATAAGGTGCCTGACCTATTTTTTAAGCCAAGTTTTTTTATAAAGCAGAAATATTTAATGAACACACTGTAATAGAATTAGTGTTCATTTTTGATTATAAAAAAAGGAGTACAAAAGTAATAGACCAAAGGTTTGAAAGCCTTTTTCTACACATGTTCTGATTTTAATTGCGATATTAGCGAGTTTCATGCTTAAAGCTGTTTTAAGTCGTAAAGAAGTTATTATTATTTAGTTTCGACTAAATTACGGCTGAATATGTTCTCTCGATAGATCCACGTTAATTTATCTATTAGTGTTGCTAATGATTTTTTGATATTTGGCAACTATGTAGTTTTCGAAACCTATAATAGATTGATTTTTAATTTAAAAGTCGAAACTTAGTTAGATGGCCTAAGAAATAATAATAATAAGAAAAAACATGTAGGTATTCTACTGTGGCGTATATGGTATAAAATTAATTGGTGGAGGCCGGTGATGTTTTTCGTAGTGTTAATAAGAGGTTATGGCAACAGTTTTAACAGACTGACGTTTGGTGGCAGAGTTATGGAGAGGGTAATTTCAAAGAAGAGAAGAAGTAGCGAGAGAGGTAGAGAGAGAGAGAGAGTGAGAGAGAGAGAGAGAGAGTGAGAGAGAGAGAGAGTGAGAGAGAGAGAGAGAGAGAGAGAGAGAGACAGATAGAGAGAGAGAGAGAGAGAGAGAAAGAAGGAAAGAGAGAGAAAGAGAGGCACAAAAAAAGGCTTAGAGAGAGTCACAATCTTAAAAAAATACTCACAAGTGAAATTTTTCGTTCCAAACAGGATTTAATTCCTGTGGCATTGTACGCGTACGCTTTTTCACCTTGCTAACTTGGACGGTAACGTAGGGATCGCTGAAGCCGGATTTGTCCTTTGCTATCAGTCCTTGAGCACATATCACTGCGCGGTGTTAATGTTTTGATATATATTAATTTTGACGATTTTTTAGTTTTATTTAATTTTTTTTAATGGATTGAAAATTATTTAGTTTTTTGATTCGATCAATCAAGAGATTGATTACAGCCAGCGCCAGCGTTGGTTCGATTAATGTTCGTTTCAAAATTTATCAAAAAAAGGGCAGTATGGTTTGAGTATGCGTGTGGATTTAATAATGATTGTATTTTCGAAAATAAATAAAAAATAACATGGAGACAACACAAATTATTGAAAAAAGTTAAATTAAGAGATGAATGAATGCGAAAAAATGTTTACATAAAGCAAAGTACACAAACGACAACGTTAAAAAAAAAACAATTTTGGAACATATCCAAATAACCCAAAGGGCAGGAAAAAACAAAACAATATTAAAACAAGTGCCACAGAACGAATTCAAATGAAGTTGAGGTGTGAATGAAAGTTAGTTAATTCCGGATGTATAAATTATTATTGTGAACACGTACACGCAAATGCATCCGTACACACAAACATGTAGGCGCGAACGCATGTCGAATTTCAACATGTGTATCGGTTATTTGCCGATTGATAAATATGAAACGAACAGAACCATAACATTTATAATTCAATTATTTCAAGGAAGAAAGAAAAAGAGAAAAACGGAATTAATTTTATATTTACAATTTTTATTACTATTGTTTTACTTCTATTTTTTATATCTTTTTTTTTTTGATACACGCACATATATACATATACTTTCGTTTTCTATTAACCATATATATATGAAAGGTTTTTCAAAGAAATAAGAAAATCAAAAGAAGGTAAATGCAAAAATACCCAAGAATGGCACTAAAAAAATATTTTTAAAAATCGGAAAACTTAAAAAGTATTAAACATAATCAAACAGCAAATACATATACATAAATATACCGGTCGATAAGTCTCGTGACTAAGTAAGAACAAACAATTTATTTATTTTATTTTATTTTTTTGTGAAATTCGAACTTATTTAACAACCAAGTCGACTTTTAGAGTGATACATTTGACTTAATGCTTCTCTAATGTTTCAATGTTTCTTTTTTGAACGGTTTGCCTAGAACCACAAATACACATCAGCTTCCTCAACGAACTCATCTTTGATCCAACTATTTTTGCTTAGAGCATCTTGGGGCCACATCGGAAAAATGCAGCAGAATATTTTGAGCTTCGATGCATCTAATTTTATCGTTCTAGTCATTGCCTTCCGACAGGATATTTTTGTTACACTGGAAGCAAATGTGAGATGTATTTGGAAAACATCTTTTTCATGCACAAATTTTGGTGGGAAGTAGTTAGTAAATTGTCTCTAAGTTAAGACGCCAACTATTTTTCCTCAATATCACTTTTCGTTTTTTTTTTAAATTACTAGGATGTTTCTTGATGTTTTCCAGCCAAAAATTTTTGCATGCGATAGAAAACAGTTGCCATAACGTTCTGCAGGCCAATGCTGGGTTCAAATGACATTTTTTCTATCAAAAAGCCATGTTTAACCAGCACATGAAATTCGAGATTTCCATTGTTTTGAAAATAAAAAATTACCGTCACGAAAAACACTGTGGTTCTCAAAAAATTAATCGAAACAACGTAATATTATGACAGGTGTAGTTTGAATGCTAAAACTTTCTAAATATAATGGGAATATTTTTGGTTAGAGTTCGATATTTATTAGTTAGTCTCGAGAATTATTGACCGATATGTTAAATATATTTTCTATATAACATAAAGACTCCACCCGACAAGCCATTGCTCGAAGTGCGGTTATGCAAAGTGTCTCGGGTCATCCCTTATGAGAGGCATTGTGGAAATACATATTGCAAGCTTCACACTCATAGTTAATTGAATTGGCTTTTTAGGAAGACTTTCTGTGTTAAGGAAAAGTATTGAAAAATGAGTTTCAAGAAATTTGAAATAAATCGCACCGAATAAATTTTGAAATAGTGCTTATAATATAAAAATAAAGGAAGCGGTTATAGTGCTGTGTGAAAACCTAATAAGAAAAACAAAAAACTTATAATGAATGACTCAAACCTAAATGGAAAAAAACATTTAGCAATAGTAGATGAATGTAAAATCTTGCAATGCAACGTTGTTTAAAGTTATTTTTATACAGTGACGGTACAACAAAATCAATAAGTTTTTTTTTTAGTCTAATCTCATAAACCAATGTAGTAAAAAAGTAATACAACAGCTTTATTTTGAGCAACATCGCAGAGATCTAACATGTCACAAGATAGTGACAAACTGACATTCGAAAATTATAAGTACAAAATTTTATACAAAGTGAAAAGAAAATATAGTCGCAATACGGCTGCAAAAGGCAATAGTCTCAATAATATAGGCCGAAGCCTATTGGGATTATATAATTATATCTAAGCTCACCTTATTAGAGCTTTAAAAAATTCGAATACATTTTTCTATAGAACTATGTTAGTGAATGTTTGATGGCAGCACCAAATACATAGATAAAAATAATGGTTTCACGTGTAAGTTATTGTTGTCTAGCTGTGGTAACTTTGGTAACTACTATATATCGGATCACAACAAGGGCTAAGTCAATTTCGAATAACTTGCTGATTAAGAACATATACATTACTTAAATTTTTAAGTCTCTGGTAAGCATTTTGGGGTTATTTTGAAAGAAGTATCAAACTTGGTACAAATCTTTGGTACGATGACGACATCTGTCATATAAAACGTGTAATATGTTGCTTCTGAATGCTATTTATTCCAACCACGCAAGTATGCCAATAAAGTTCAAATAAATCATTGGCTTTACTTTTATTAAAAGCAATGTTATCTTCAAGTAAATAAGGACCACGCATGAAATATTTTTATAAGTTTACTATATGTTCGCAATTTCAGATGTGCAACATCTTGTAAATTATTGGTGAAATAATATTGCTGTATATGTATATTTCTCTAATTTTTATATACATTTGCCGCATTATGGAAGTATATTTATGTAAATCTGCTGACAATAGAATTACATTAACGTTTATTTGAATATTCCTAGAAACTTCACAGTTAAAACAAGACGAAATAACACATACATTTATAAATATATGTATGTATATACTCTATATATCATAAATACATACATATATATATATATGTATATATATTAGTTTGGGGAAAAAGAAATCCATTATTTTTATATGAACTTCAGGACTTTATTTAACATGCTTCGGATTGTCCGATTTGGGTCAAATATGCACCGTTTTGTTGTATGATTTGTTGCCATTTTAAAGGTAACTTCAAAAAGACTCTCTCATAGAAGTCCTGGTCTCTATTTGCAAAAAACTCTAGTAGTCGATTTTCACAATCCTCCCTAGATTCCAATTTTTTATCATTAAAGAAATTTTGCAATGCAAGAAAAAGATGATAATCGCTTGGTGCCAAGTCCGGACTGTATGGCGGATGCATTAAAACTTCCCAACCAAGCTCCCGAAGTTTCTGGCGAGTCACTGTAGATGTGTGTGGCCTAGCGTTGTCCTGGTGGAACACGACACCTCTTCTGTTGGCCAATTCTGGCCGTTTCTGATCAATCGCTATCTTCAAACGGTCCAGTTGTTGACAGTAGAGATCAGAATTTTGCGTTTGGCCATATGGAAGCAACTCATAATAAATAATCCCCTTCCAGTCCCACCAAATGCATAGCAAAACCTTCCTGGCCGTTTGAGGTGCTTCACCGCTCTTTGACCACGATCGTTTTCGCACAGGGTTATCGTATGTGATTCATTTCTCATTTCCAGTCACCATCCATTTAAGAAATGGGCCTATCTCATTCCGTTTGGCCACGGCTTCGCAGATGGAAATTCGATCCATCATGTTTTTTTCTGTTAACTGGTGTGGCACTCAAACATCGAGCTTCTTTTTGAATCCAGCTTTGTGTAAATGGTTTAAAACTGTGTTATGGTCGATTTTTAGCTCCTGGACGATGTTACGACTGCTAACATGCCGGTCAACTTCGATCATTTCTCCGATTTTATCGACATTTTCGACGACCGGCCTACCTGTGCGAGGTACATCTTTAACATCAAAAATTCCTGAACGGAATCTACGAAACCAAAATTGCACATAATTGGCTGTTACAGTATCGGAACCATAAACATTATTCACAATTTTAGCCGCCTGGCTTGCATTTTCGCCTTTGTCAAAGAAAAACTGTAAAATGTACTGAATTTTCTCTTTGTTCACTTCCATTTTTAACACGCTGTAACTCACAACTGAATGCACCAAACAAAAAACAGCACAAGAATTTTTTTTACTGCGAAATGTCACCTTTCCAACGAGCATAAATATGAAATTGTTTGATCGATACTTTACGAGAAATCTATCAGTGCAGCCATCTACCGAAAAAATAATGGATTTCTTTTTCTCCAAACTAATATATATATATACTCTATATACCGTATATACATAGTCGTTGAAAGGGTTCATATATTACACTTTTTTCCTTAGAGTGCAGGAAGAAAGTTCAGTTTAAAATAAAGCATGCTCTGAGCTTATAATTTTTTATACCTAACTTTTAGAAAGTTAAACAAGAATTCCCTTCCTGGGATAAAGCCTAATATAGGTGGTTTTCCATTTCGTAGTTGTGGTATATGCGTTTGTGTGTTCTTTTTCATCACGTTTTCAACAAAAGCTGATTTTCAGATTCAGCTAAAGTAAAACAGTGGAACTTTAACAGCCATTCTGACGCAAATTCTCAGCTGTCCTTAAATTCATTCAATCAGAATAGGACGATGTCAATGCACACAATGATACGGACATATATATTCTTTATGTTTTATTACCAATTTTTGTTTAATGAAGTGTTTCGTAAAAAATTCAAGTTACTATTAACAGTGACGTAAACATACAATCTTAAAAAAGGGCCATTTACAGCATTAATGTGTAACAAATTTTCAGATGAAATTCATGATTGCTCTTAGGAATACACTTGATGTAGCCAAAATATGAAGAAA